GAATTCTGGGAGTTGAAGTCCACACATCTTAAAGTTGTCAAGGTTGAGAAACACTGTATTAGACAGTAGACAGCTTGACTGCTTGGTGGTGTGCCATTGCACACAGCTTATATAAAACTCACCTTCAATGTGGCAGTGAAAACTGCATATGAAGAAAAGTCCTTGTGGATACCTCAGCAGTATAATTTTTTCATGTAAATACAAATTGCGTATATTTCTGACAAGTGCACGAAGTATATCAGATTGTGCTTATTCTGCAGCACCTAATGAAATAATCCTAATTGTGAACGATCGCTTATTGATTAATATTGCTTTTTTATCAGCTTACGGAAAGTTTGGCAGAGGAGGAAATGCACAGTTAAAAATGGCATTCTGACCATATCGCATGCAACTGTAAGTAGTCTTTTTATATTGTGAAAGATTGTCCGACCTCTGCAGTCCCCACAATGTGGAGTGAAATTAGATGTCAGGGTGATTAGTGGGCTCTTTACTTTTGACTAAACAGCACTAGAACCGTGTGGGATTAGTGACTCTGATACTGTATATTTCTGAACACAGGAACCACCCTATTTTTATCCATACAGGTGTAGTTAGGACCCTCCTTTATGCCTTCTATACAGGTAGTCCTCACTTACTGACCGCAATTGGGACTGGCAACTCCGTCCCTAAGCAACACAGTCATAAAGCAAAAAATCGTGTGACCACGCCAACTTAGGATGGCAGTTCTGGTTGTGGTTGTTAAGCAAATCCTGTGTGGTTGTTAAGCATGATGTCATGTGACTGCAACTTGTGGCCTCCTGCCAGCTTCCCTGTTGACTTTGCTTGTCGGAAGCTGGCAGCGAAGGTTACAAATGGTGATCATATGACTGCAGGTTGCTGCAACTGTTGTAATTGCATGCTGGTTGCCAAGCACCCAAATTGCAATCATGTGACAGCCACAACTACAAGGACTGGTCATAAGTCTCATTCAGTGCTGGGTAACTTCGAGTGGTCACTAAGTGAGGACTACCTGTAGTTGGGAGTTAAAAAGTCAAACCAATGTGAGAACCATATCCCTTATATGAGATTACTACGTACCTTGTTTATGCTCAATGCTGGTATTTAAAGATATTGCCATTTTCAGAATTTCAAAACTTAATGAAAGCTATGGACCTCTGTCTTTTTAGTTTAGAAGCTTTCAGAATACTTGACTAACTTCACATTTTGCGGAATGCCCCAGAATATAGTGGAGGCTAAACACAGCTTCTAGGTTACGTGGTTGAAACATACAAATTCAACTCATGGCTTCCTTGCTTCTTTAGTGTCCCAGATGTTCCCCTGATTATTTATTTTTTCTTCCCCATATACACAGTTCTTTTTTGAATAAATTAAATCATATGTAAAAGATACTAAAACCTTCACTGACTGAAGCATGTTAACAGTATTTCATATACAAAATCAATGTACATATTTTAGAAATTGGCACAACTTGCTTCATAATGCCCTATTTTAAATTCTGGTTCCGTGTCCAAATACTTGTGAAATGAAGTGAGTGTAAAATGCTGATTGGAAAACAGTTGGTTCCTGAATGCAACCAGCTTGACTCACTATTAGGAGGACTGGAGAGTTAGGAAACTGTTAAGATGATATGATATTCCCAGCATTTCTCTCAGCTGCCCAACACTAGTTGGGTGTATTCCTTCAGGGCTGAGTAAAGACACTCTCTACCTGCAAAGGATAATGATACGAAGTATTGTCTACAGCAATGTTTCTCAACCCTGGCAACTTCAAGATGTGTGGAGTTCAAATCCCAGAATTCCCCAGCCAGCCATCCTGGCTGGGGAATTCTGGGAGTTGAAGTCCACACATCTTGAAGTTGCCAAGGTTGAGAAACACTGGTCTACCGAGACCCATGGAATATTTCTCAATGGCATACTTTCTATAGAGAAGCTACTTCTCTGTTGTTATCTTCCGTGAATTGTTGATGCTTTGAGAAGTAAGAGAGAACATTGCATTTCCTGAGAATGTTTTACCTGTCCTAATACTATGGCTTTCATAATGTCCTATTTTAAGTTCTGTTAAGTTTCTGGTAACTTATCAAAAACTGGGTACAAATATGTAAATACGTACTTTTCTTTGCGATGTGAAGTAAATCATTATTCATAACATATAGATACAGATGTATGCGTGTCCTGTAAAGCATCAAACACTTTGGATTATTAAGCCTGAAGAATAGTAGTCTAACTAGATCAGCCACTGTGCAATTAATTTAAATATGATCCATCATTTAAGAGGTTTGGTATTAGGAGACTGTCTTGTTATTATCTCACATGACACTTGGTAGTTGCCCTAGGAAAAGTTCATTCGAAGCCCATACAAAGCACTCTCCAGGGAAATTCTTCCATTTTAAAGCAATTATTGACAGTTATTTGTGTCACATTATATAAAAGAAACTCAATATTTAAAAGGTTTGCAATTCTGCACTGTCACTCAATGACCATCATTGGGAACACCAGCTTCGGTGGGTTCATCAAGACATCATGACTTAAAACAGAGACTTTAAAGGGTTAAATCGTGTTTGCAACTTTTGGACCAAAGTTGCTTCAAGGAAGTTAGAAATGGAGAGTAGATGTTCCAGTCAGATTCGTTCTGATTTAATTATCAGCCTTTAGCAGATGTTGCCCCCTTGTGTTCTATCTGCTTTCCAAGCATTGAATTCTTGGTATCTGGAAAACGATGTTGAACGTGGTATTCAAGAAAAAGCTGTCCTTAGTAATTGTGGAATACCTCCTCTCATGGATTGGAGAAGAAATAGTTACGTTTCCTAACATTTCAGCTGAACAGGTATAGCTGCAAAGTTACCTCCATCCATCCTTAACCAAATCCCTATGGCCTTTAAAAAAAAAAAAAAAGTAATATTGAAATACAGTTTTTC